ATACTCAAAATTCAAGAAATTTTGCCAAAATAATCTTCTGTCCTGAAATTTCATCCATGCTCATGAAAAGTTTTGACTTCTGTGACTATAAGTCCTTTCAGAAAATCAAATCAACGAATTACAGAAAACAAAGTGCTTGAATGTATCTCTAGGAAACAGTCATTTGTCTTCAGAATGAAAAGAAGAAAAATAAAAAGACAAATGAGGTTTCAGCCTCGGGCAGCAGTGATGCAAGGAATACTTGATTGTTCTACCATACAGGCAATTCCTGGTCTTATCCTGCAACACAAATAGAGTTGGCCTTACAAATCTTAGATTGCTTTCAAAAAGAAACACAGAACACAGTTAATTCTCCTAGACATAGAAGAAAATTTCCCCAAACTTAAAAATATAAAGGTATTCACAATCCAGCTGTGAAGAATATATCCCTTTCTTTGAAAAGGAGAGCTTTCTGTAACAACGAGTTATTTCAGATTTGCCTCAACAATCAATAGGCTTAAACATGCATTTCCCTTTCAAAGAGAATTTAGTTCATTTTGAATAAGTCTACTAAAAAAGTGAGTAAGAACATCCATAGATTGTTTAGTGCAGTTTAATCAATCATTTTACAAAGCAAACAAGATTAACTTTTATAACATCATTTTATAGATAAATCTAAATAGTAATTCAGATTTATGTTACTGATATAAATGAAGAGAGTGGGAATTCAGAGCAGATGAATAACCTGCTCTTTACAGGTTGCTGAGGCGGGAAAGGTACCATTTTTATTCCTACCTACTTGTTTTTCTACTGTCAAATGCCAGCGGAGCCACAAAAGACAGACTGTTGTTACGAAGCCAGCAACACTTATTCTGTTTCACATTTTGTAGCAGACTCATACTTCAGGCCAAGCTCAGGCCATAGCTTTTTAATTTTTCTCTAAATCACCTGACACACTTTTGGGAGTTATAAAACAAAGTGACTGATGATACCTAACAATTGTGTGTGGCAGGGAAAATATATAGTGTTCCTTTTGTGGGGACAAACTGCAAACCTGGATAATGCCAGGAGTAAAGACTACCTTGAGAAGTCACATTTATGCTCAGGGACAGTTTAAGCTTTTAAAAAACAGTTAAAGATAAATCCTGTAGTAATAGCAGACAACAAAATGGTATATTTTTCCTGAAAGCACTTATACAGATTCTGGAAAGATGCCCAGAAAGAGTCTCAGGCATGAAAATAAATTATAATATGTGTTAGTTTTCCATAACAAGTCCATAAGTCTAGAGTGGTACCTAGACAATGGGCAGTGAGGATAACAACTTTCTGAAAAGGGGAATCAGAAGAGAGGCAGATAAAGGGAAAGACTGCAACACAAAAATCCTTTTCTTAAATGTAGATTATTATTCACTAGTAAAAAATCTTCCTTTGCACTAGTGAATACAGAATACAGGCATTTCCTTGGATAAACTTCCTTTTAAAGTTCTAGAGAAAGAAAAAGAAAAATCAAGTGAACTTTCACTTCCATCAAGAATGAGCCTGTTCTGTCAAGTGTGCAATTATTACTTTCCTATGGCAGAACTGCAGAATAACTACTCAGGAGTGATAATTCTCAGAAGACAGTTTTCTCTTTGGTTCAAGCCATGGAGCTGTGATAACTCCATCTGTAGTTTGAAAAGGATCATGATGCCTTACATATTGCCTACATTAAACAGAGAGCATCCGAAGCGTGGTTGGTTTTGGTTTTTTTTTTAAATCAGTGCAAATAAGACTGGTGCAAAAATCCACATGCACACTTCTTTGATTATTCCAACCAAGACTAATTTAGTATATCTGAAATTGATTAGGAATACATTTACTTTAAAGAACAATAAACTGTTTCTAATTTGAAAAGAAGTCTACACAGTAATTTATAGCACTTAGATTACACCAGTGCACATTTGTGTAGATGCAAGTCACGAAGAAGCAGTGTGCCATAATAAGTTATTTGCTGTTAGAAAGCACAGAAACTTGCCCTGTTTTTCCAAACTGACTCCACAAGGCAGGTTGTCTCAAGATTTAATTCTTGAAAAACTGTGGAGCATACCTTTCTCTGTGTTGAACAGACACAAAGAGGATGACTCCAGCCACCCAGTAACCTCTGCGGCAGGTGTAGCTCCTGCATCATTCTAAAAAGTGGAGCAAAACTTGGAAGCGGTACAACGATACAGTGTGGCCTGGATGGCCTGAAAACAATGCAAAGTAGGGCACAAAACCCTTCCGAGTTACGCCTGCCGAGAACAGCCCTAATTGCCCTAATTGCCAGCACACGCTAAGTGAAACTCCGGTGATACACTGTCAGTGATGACGGCCATACAGAGGAACGCGGTAGCTATGCCTGGAAGCCGGGCACGGAGACACGCAAGCTCTGCTCTCCTCTGTTGCATTCATCTTGTTTATTTACTTAATGCAAATGAGCACAAGGCATCTGCCACTTTGGGGGCCCCAAGGAAACTACATGTTTCAAGGGTAATTTCAGAGTGATGCCCTACTGTCTGCTCCTGCAGCTTAAAAGGAAAATCCCTCGAAACGTCCACACTTTCCCAAGCCGACATTGGTGCGGACGCGTCCTGTCCGCGGCGTTCGCAGTTATCTCCTCGCGGGC